TTTAGAGGCAACACAAAACTTTGCAATAGTAGTCAAACTTTGCAAGTGAGTCAACGAGATTCGAACAGTTGGGCTTTTTTAGTAGCGCATGTTAATGGGCTTAATTAATGCTTTTTATGTTTCAATCATGTTTATTTACCGAAAGAGAGCGTAGATGGCCCAATGGGCTAAAAGTTAAAAATTAAAATAATAATGCGGTGAGCGTGGATCGAACACGCGACCTTCAGATCTTCAGTCTGACGCTCTCCCAACTGAGCTATCCCCGCTTGATGATTAATAAAGACACTTGTTAATAATATAGTGAAACTCATTTATTCTGTTTGTTTTATTAAAATACAAAAGCGAGATTACATAAAATTGGCTCTTTTTATAGATAAAGAGAATCGTATTCAGATGTCGCAAGAAATCCACAACGGCTCCTCAAACTGACCATCAAGTTTGTCTCCATCTTGCCCGTTCAAACTCATCCGACTCAAATCCAATTCATCAGCAGTATGCCACGTGGGAGTCCCATCTTCATACCCGTTCCACGTCAGCCTCCTCAATCCCGTTCCATCCAATTTCACAACGTATAAATCTCCATACGGCTGAAACTGATTCGGCATCGCCACCGGCTCCGCCGTTATTCCACAGAGATTCGCCGTGAAAACTAACCAATCACCATCCTTATTGAAACTCACATGATTAACTCTCTCCCTCGCCGCTTCCTCCGACCCTTCCGGTCCCGAAATTAGAATCCTCCTCAATCCAGAACCGTCAGGTCTCACCACGTAAGCACCGAACGCGTCGATGTTCGCTGGATTGTGTCGGTTAGATGAGAATCCGATGAGATCTCCTTTCGGAGACCAGCAAGGCATAGTATCGATCCATGGTCCTTCCGTTAACCGTCTTATTCCACCGCCGTTAGATTCTCCGTTAACAGCGTCTACAATGTAGAGATTCTTATGCCCAGATCTACCAGATCGGAACACGATTGATTTACCGTCGGGAGAGCAAGACGGAAAAGCGTTATTCCCAGTGTTCTCTAGAGTAAGAATCTTCACATCACAAGGAAGCTCTTCTTTATCGGCGGTGAGATCTGATGGATCGAACTTGATTCGAGCTATCTGAACGGCGATTCCCGCCGGACGGAAGATCGGACCGAGAGATGTGTAGATTACATGACGCTCCGTTGGACTCCATGAATTGTAGAAAGCTGTACGGTCTTTGATCAACGTCCATCGTTTTGAACCGTCGGATTTAGCAACTTTGATGCCACCGTTGATGTCGAAATCGGAATTTAGTGCGATTAGATCACCGTTGGGAGATGATGATGGAAACGATCCGTTGATTCTGAGTAAACGGAGGGTTTTGATTGGTGAAACGATGGACTCGATGTTGGGAACGATTGACTCGCCCTGAGTTGACTCGCCTCTGAAGCGGTGGTAGCCGAGGAACTCGGAATTTGAAGACACGAAGGGGTTGTAATGGTGGAAACTCGGATTGAGTGGCTCAGTCACCGGCTGAAACGTTTTGTGGTCAAGGTCGTAAATCTCGATGTGACGGTGGTTGACTCCGCGACGGCGAGTTGCGACGGCGATTCGTTTCCCGTCGTGGAAAGCTGCAGGAGTGAAGCAATGGAGTCCCGATGGAGTGACTCGGATCGGTGTGATTGGGAAATCGGAATATTTTTTGAAGTTCTCCGGTATATCTACCCGGAAAATGCTCCACCAACCGTCGTCTGCTTGGTGGTGGAAGAAAACAGTTGAATCGCCGGACCAAGTCGGCCAACCACCACGCTCGCAAATCACCACTCTTGTCTCTGGTTCAGATGCTTTGAAAACAGTAATATCAGTGTTGATCTCGTGAAACTCACCGCCCCAAGAGCGAGATCCATATGACGCGACGGCTAAGAAATCTCCAGATTGAGAAACCGCCGGGCTGAAATCGGCGGTGTCTAATGGAGTGACACGTGTAACTTCTCTCTCCTCGCCGTTGAGCTCCACGGTGTAAAGCGCAGACCAATTCTTGAAATGACGATCAGGTTGTTCGTGAGCAGAGATGAAATAGAGTCTGTTTGATTGAGTAATGATAGGACGGTCGTGGAAGTAGCTTTCCGGAGCTCCGGGAAGCTGCTCGGGTTCAGAAATTCCGGGGCGCGTTTTGTAAATCCGGGCGGATCCGTTTCGTTCCGACACAAAAACGACATCATCGCTTTTATCGTTGACAAATTGAGCGTTGAAGTTAACTGAAACGCCGTCTGTTAAGCGGCGTTCGACGGCAGTGGCGATGTGAAGAGAGAAGACGTCGAAGCCGTAGTGAGTTCGACCAACGGTGGTGAAGATGATGGTGCCTTTGGGAGTTTCCATTGTCGAGTTTTGGATGAATTTGTTGTGGTAACTGATTGAAGTATTTATAGGTTGATGACGTGCGCGAAAGTGTTTGACTATTTGACTGAATGTGGAATGTGAAATGTGAACGGAACAAAACTGATCCGTACGTGCGTGTGTAATGACGTTGCAGTCTTCATAGGATCTTTATCCTTTAGTTACGTGGAAAATCGACGCAGAAGAGAGGTTCATGTATGTGTAATAGGAATGTGAGAAATTTGGTTTTGAATACTTACACAGTGGATTTGACCAAAGACAGAGAAAGAGCTAATGAAGTTGTGATTTGTAAAATAAATCAATCAAAATTGCTGTCGTAGACAATATGTATTGAATAACCAACAAGAATACAACATCAAGCAACAGAAGGATTGGGTTTTCCGGCGATCAGTAAAGTATTTTCCGGCGAGATGCTTGCAGGGATATACTTCACTAGCTTTGAATCTAACCCATGTTTCTTATTAACCCACTTCATCCTCCCTGCATCTATTATCCGTTTGCATTTAAACCCTAAAACAGCTCTCTCCATGGGTTTCATTTTCTTCACAACTTCCTCCACGCTGCTCAACGAATCATATCTCACTTCTCCTTCTTCGTCTTCTTTTGCACTGCATCAGAAGAACAATTAAAATGAAATAACTTATTTGAAGTAACTTCTTTATCATCTTTGAGTCCAAGATATATTACTTTGAAGCGAGAAGGTCATTGTCGTCAACACTGGGAAGATTGGAACCGTGATCATCATCTACAGCCCAGCTAGTGAACGAAGTCATGATATGGAACTCGTCTTTGGAAATCCCTAGGCTCAAGATATATTCTTTATCTGTGAGACAAGAAAATGACAGAACCACACTCTTGATTAATTGAGATGTTCTAAGATACTATGATAGTCCTAAGAGGAAGTAGTGACTGTGTGAGTTTACTTATGTAGCTTTTCCATTGGCAAAGATGATGGCAACAAGTCGCAATAGCGAGACCTCTAAGGACCAGGCTTTCACCATCTTGTCTGGATAAACAACATCTTAAGCTCAAATCTATTATCGACACATTAAAATGTACATCAATTAGTAAAAACAGACACTCTTCACGAAGTGGGAATCTTAACGTGTAAGAGCAAAGACATAAGCATGTAGTGACCTGTTGCAGGACCACATAGATGCTTCCCAATAGCCACATAAGGAACACCGTGCAAAGATTCAACCACGTTAAGGTTCAAATCCTCAACTGAAAACACATAAGATTTTATCTTTCGATCATTAATACATAACCCTGAACAAAGTAAACAAGAAAAGGTACTAGATATATGGGAACCTTACTATCAATTCTCATACGCTCTAATACTAAATTCTCCTTTTGCCTCAATGATCGATCAGCCTAGAAGTAATAAAACAAAATGCACTTTGAGAAATAAGCTAAATTACTGAAAAGAACGAAACAAACACAAACAAGCAAAGCTTAACCAACCTTAAGCTTATAAGATTTCCTCTCGACAAGATACACTTTTTTTACCCCATAGCAATCTGCTAGCATCTGTGTTAAGTATCCTCTGCCAGCGCCAAATTCAACAACCGCCGACACACTGTGATCGTCTTTCTCTTTCAGATCACTTTCGCAACATTCCACATTTATGTTGCACCTCTTCAATGCACCAATCTCTTCCAAGTTACCAAGAATCGAACCTTGCTGCAAAACATGTTTTTCTTGAAACGGTAATTTCCTGCCCAACAAATCAGAAACAATCAGTAAAACAAAATCTTCTCGTCTCACTAACCAAACCCCAAGAACAACGAAAGCTCCAAACTATTCAAACCATTTACCTATCTATCTCTTTATTAAACCATATGTTACAAGCTTCAGGTGACAGATACGAATCTTCAATCTCTTTACAAATACCGCCATGAACAGCCTCAATTTTCTTAATTAGCTGATGAAACTGAGAAACGCTCATACTATAGAGAAGCTTTCTCTTCATCTCTGAGGTAACAAGAGAATCCGAATAACAAGATCCCAACTTTTCTTCTTCTTCTTCTTCGTTTCCGGCATTAATGCCCTTCTGATAAAACCGTTGACCAGACAATGCTACAGTTTGTTTAAGTAAAGGACATCTCTTTACATGCCATTCGAGATTCTCCTGCAACACAGAGCTAACAAAATTCGAATCAAACCGTTGCTACAATAGCAGAGAAATTGCAAACTAAAACCTTTTGAAAAAAAAAAGTCTTTGACTCACTGAGAAGGATCAATAGGGCATGGAATCCATTGACCTTCCAATCTCTGGCTATGGTTTCCACAAAACCTGTTTGGTTACTTTGTCAAATTTTAGTGAAAAGAAAAAAAAAAAGAAAAAACGAAACTTTTCAGTTTCACTTACTTGGAACTCTTGATTCGAGTATTCGCGCATGATCTTTTCTTCTTCGGAAGCCAGAAACTGCATCGATTGCTACTTTTCGCCTCCATTCTCTCAGCCAGAGTTTGCTCAGCGAAAGAGAGAGAGAGAGTCGAGAGACGGAGGTCTTCAACGGGTCCTAAAATGGGCTTCTTCTTGGCCCATTAAGAGCCCATTTAAAATTTTAAAATGGAATTAATCTGAGCAACCAATTAAATAATGACACGTGGCAGTTCCAAAACGAAGAAGCATGTTACTTCTCCTCCTTTCATACTCTTGTACGCCATTAAGTCTTTACATTTTCTTCCGCCGGAAAAACAGATATCACACAGAAAACACGACGACGAAGAAAGAAGAAGAAGAAGAAGAAGATGTCTGCGACGGCGATTCTCTCTGTAACTAACCCTAACGCCGTCGTCTTCGGATTTGGTAATCGGACATTCTGTTGTCGGAGCAACTTTGCTAAACCCAGTTCGAGATTGTTTCCTTCTTCTTCTCCGATGAAGCCTTTGACTCTTGATTCTAGATTCTCTCCTTTGATTTCAACAAATAGGTCCTTGAAATCTTCAGTATTCAGGAGATTTAATACTCTCATGGAGTGGCAAGAATGCAAGTAAGCGACTCTATCTTCCCCTCTGCTCTTTGACTCTCTCTGACTTGCGGATTTTTGTTGTTTCTTCATGTAATTTAGCTAGATATACAAAACACACTCGCATTTTGTAAGAATCTTGCGTTGAAGATATTACGAAATTGCAGACTGATTTTGATTTACTTACGGATGATTGCTCTGGAGATTCAAGTTCAATACTTTTTTATCAACGGTAGCTTTAGATAGTCAAATTTGATGTTTTTAACTGTTCATGACAAATTCTTGACAAGGCTGTTTTGTTTTTGTATGATTTTATCATTCCTGTTCAAATTCAAGCTATGAATTTTATTTTTCTTAAAAAGTTGTGTTTTTTTTAGTCAAGAAGGTTCTTTTAGTGTTTGAATCTTTGTTTTGTGGAGATTTTAGAGTAAAGATGAAGGTAGAAGTGCCTGTATCAGTTGCTTATGGACTCTACTCGGAACGAGAATCAATTCCTAAATGGATGACATTCATTTCATCTGTTAAGGTAATGACTGTTTCTGTTGGCTTTATGATGTTCAACATTGGATTTTGTTTTTGATGTTTGTTCTGCAGGTGTTGAAGGACAAACCCGATTTATCTCGATGGACCTTGAAATATAAAGCATTTGGTCAGAATCTTGAGTACGCTTGGCTTGCTAAGAACTTGCAGGCAAGTATCATGAACCATTGAACTGTTTATATTTATAAGTAGCTTCACTCACTCTTATGTTAAGAGTTATTCTTATGACATTTTTTAATTTTGTAAGAAATGAACAGTTTCAGTAAGTATGCATTGATATCAAGAACATGTTAAACAGTTTTGATACTCTTTATTTGGATTTCTCGTAATTGTTTTCTAGATTCTGTTTCCTGCAGCCTCTCCCGAATCAGAAAATACATTGGATTTCTCTAGAAGGCCTTCCTAACAAGTAACAGAACTGAAACGAATCAATGAGTTTATGAGTCTCAAAATTCATCTCTTCAATCTTGATGTGAAGGTCTTGCTTTTTTACAGGGGCACTGTCCGCTTTTTCCCGCTAGGACCTTCATCATGTGAAGTAGAAGTGAGATTTCATTGTTCATATCATCGCTTTTCGAGTTCCCGATGATTTCACAAAATTTTCTGAGTTCTTTGCTTTGTTTGCAGCTAACCTTTGCATATGAAGTTCCCCTGCTACTTATACCATTTGCAGCGGTAAGCAAGCATTCTTTATCCAACATGTAAAAACTATATCAATACTTGATGATTTAGAGAGTGAATCAACACAACTGAATGTCTCAAATCCTATCTTCTGGTAACATTTACCCTGTAATGTAGCAATTCATCTTTGCTTTCTTCAGGCGCTTCAACCGCTAATGCAAGGATTGATCAAGAATAGTTTGGCGCAATTTGCAGAGATTGCAAAAAGCACAAAGACCACTTAGTTAAACTTAAACAACATCCACAACAGCAAAACTTATCCACAGCACACATCATCACATTGTTCTTACAGGAGTTTGCACAGAGAATCATTGTTGTGACTGTTACTATATTGATTTTTTATAGTGTTCATGTCATACAAAGAAAAGTTTATCATATTAGTCACTATATTTTAATCTCCGACTTAAGACTCTGAGTTTATCTATGTTGGCCAGAAAATAAACATGCAGCATTTTAGTTCCTAATTGGTTCATCTACTTTATTTCTATAAAAAAAAATTAAGTGCAAAAAAAAAAAAAGAATTTAATTTTTTTCTAAAAAGACTATGACTCAATGATAGGATCACACATTGGAATGGGTTAGAACTTAGAAACATTTGTTTTTCATGATTTTTAAAATTTTCTGTATTTTGATAATTTAAACTCGCAAAACAGCAACTATAGCATATCATAAACTGTGAATCTATCTGTAAAATTATTATGGGAGACTCACAAAAATGCCCCTTTTTTAATACCCCTTTTCAAAAATGGCCCCTTTGGCTGTCCATTTTTAAAAATACCCATTTTTATGTACAAAATGACTAAATTACCCTTCTTTTAATAAAAGATATCACAAATATATAAGGAAATATAACAAAATTAGTTCCACAAAATACAAAATATTTTTTGGTGGGAAAAATGATCCCGCAATTTTTCCCGCCAAAACTCTTGTAAAAACTTGTAAAACCTTTAAAATACCTTGTAAAATTTTCCCGTAAAACTTTTTCCCGCAAAAAAAAATTTTTGGCGGGAAAATTTTTTGGCGGGAAAAATTTTTACGGGAAAATTTTACAAGGTTTTTTAAAGGTTTTTACAAGAAGGTATTTTAAAGGTTTTTTACAAGGTATTTATAAGGTTTTACAATGTATTTTAAAAGGTTTTACAACGTATTTACAAGGTATTTATAAGATATTATAAGATTTTACAAGCTATTTTATAAGGTTTTTACAAGTTATAAGGTTTTACAAGTTTTTTATAAGGTTTTACAAGTTATAAATACCTTATAAAACCTTATAAGTACCTTGTAAAACCTTTTAAAATACATTGTAAAAGCTTACAAAACACTTGTAAATACTCTGTAAAACCTTTAAAATACCTTGTAAATTTTTCCCGCCAAAAATTTTCCCGCCAAAAAAATTTCGCAAAAAAAAATTGCGGAAGCACTTTTCCCGCAAAAAAAAATTTTTGGCGGGAAAATTTTTTGGCGGGAAAAATTTTTACGGGAAAATTTTACAAGGTTTTTTAAAGGTTTTTACAAGTGTATTGGCGGGAAAATTGCGGGATCACTTTTTCCGCCAAAAAATATTTTGTATTTTGTGGACCTAATTTTGTTTCAAATAAGGGTAAAATGGTCATTAAAAATTAAAAGAGGGCAAACTTAAAAATGGACTCTCAAAAGGGGCATTTTTGAAAAGGGGTATTGAAAAATGGGCATTTTTAACAATTTCTCAATTATTATTCCTAAAATTGAAAAGTTGTTGACATAAAACAATACTATTTGCACATGAAATACAAACTTCACAATCTTCTAATGGAATATATGAGCACATGAAGTCTAGAAAGTCAAACCTTTGGAAGTCGCCAACGATGTTCCGATGCCTAAATTGGAGCATTATTCAATAGTATCAGTAATATGCATTTTAGCTTATGGCTAATGATTTCTCCAAAAAATAAGGGTTTTGCCATGAATTTGAGATACTAATACTTATGTACTTTGAGCTGTCTTTACATCATAATGCCCAAATAATTAAGATTTACCAAAAAATTCTCTTGTTAGCTTCAATTAATAAAATTATATATCAACATGTATATATATATATGCAACGAAACATGTATATACTTCAATATTTACAAAAAGCCAAGAGAAAAGAAAGAAGAATTATCGGATTATAGAAAAAAAAAACCAAACCAAACCCTAAACTCAAAATGTTGAAACTGTCTCGTGATCCGATTCTATGTATCACTACATTAATTCTCATCACATTTTCTTTATTCTTCTATGAAACTGAAGCAAGACTACATCATCACACAGACAAAGACAATCCCAACCCAAAACCAGAGCCACCGTCTCAGCCTCCTTCTTCCTCTCCAAAAGCTAACGACCCGTCGTCAAAATCTCCATCTCTGCCCCAAGATCTCGACCACGAAGTAGTCTACAACGTGAAGAAATACGGTGCGGTCGGTGATGGTGTCACAGACGACACTGAATCGTTCAAGACAGCTTGGGATTCAGCTTGTGGCAACTACAAAAACAACACTGCCTCTGTCTTGCTTGTGCCTTACGGTTTCACTTTCATGATCCGTTCCACTATTTTCACTGGTCCTTGTCGCTCTTACCAATACTTCCAAGTACCAATTATAATATCAAATTTATTTAATTTCAATCAAACTTTTGGATAATTGTGTCTAATGGTTTAATTTCTATTGAATTTTCTTAAAAAAATAAAGGTTGACGGGACCATCGTGCCACGGGATGGACCAAAGTCGTGGCCGAGCAGTTTAGACAAAAGACAATGGCTCGTCTTTTATAGAATCAACGGAATGGCTTTAAAGGGCGTTGGAGTTATCGACGGTCGTGGACAAAATTGGTGGGATCTTCCCTGCAAACCTCATCGGGTAAATACTCACTAATACACACTTCAGATTAATCATAATATAAAGAGTGAAAGGTTCAATAATAATGTGTGGTTTCTAAGTAATATGATTATTTAAAATCAAAATATTTATTAGTTATTATATTACATAATGTATATATGACCTGGGGATCTTAATATGTTCAAGCAGAATGTCAACAAAACTAAACTTGCTGGTCCATGCGAAAGCCCCGCGGTAAGTACCAAACATTTGAAAGATGTGCAATGTTTATTAACTTTACTATTAATTTTCTCTAAAAATTATATGTTTCTAAACTTTATTATTCATATTTAATGTGCAATGATTTTGGTGAGGTTAGGCTTTGAGGTTCTTCATGAGCTCGAATGTAACTGTGAAAGGCCTGAGTATAAAGAACAGCCCTCAGGTTCACCTCAAACTCGACGGATGTCATGTTGTTCACATCAACTCCATTAGAATCATATCTCCGTCGTCAAGTCCCAACACTGATGGTATCCACATTGAGAACTCCAAATCCGTTGAGATTTACAACTCCGTTATCTCCAACGGTATACATTCAATATAATAAACATCTAATAATTGTCTATAGACATACACAAATGGAAATTAAATTGCAACTAAAAGAAAAAATCACAACTTCTAACTTGTTTTGAAACTTATTTAAACAGGTGTTTTACATTTTAGACATAATACACCGAAAATAATTGAAAAAAAAAAGGATTCATTCTAGATATTTGATAGGGACTTCATTTTCTAATGTATTTAGAGTGTAAACAAACTTAAGATTCTTGAAATTTTTTACCAGGAGATGATTGTGTCTCGATAGGACCTGGATCATACGATATCGATATACGAAATCTCACTTGTGGACCAGGCGGGCATGGAATTAGGTAAAAGTTACTTGTGATTTATAATTTAGTTTTTAACATTTCATAATATTCAGTATTAACATAATCTTGTGATTTTGTAGCATTGGAAGTTTGGGAGAAAAATCCTCACATGCGTGCGTCTCCAACGTTACGGTTAGAGACTCGTTTATAAAATTTTCCGAAAATGGAGTACGGATCAAGACATGGCAAGGTGGATCCGGGTCCGTTTCGGGTGTAACATTTAACAATATCCATGTAGATACTGTCCGAAATCCGATAATCATCGATCAATACTATTGTACGGCTAAAAGTTGTGCTAACAAAACATCGGCGGTTTTTGTGAATGATATAGTATATCAAAGTATAAAAGGCACATACGATATCCGTAGCCCCCCTATGCATTTTGGATGCAGCAACAATGTCCCGTGCACAAACTTAACACTCTCAGATATCGAATTGTTACCTTCAAAAAAAGATATTGTTGTGGATCCCTTCTGTTGGAATGCGTATGGGATTACGGATGAGTTCTCCGTACCTTTGATCTCGTGTCTTAAATCGAATCCTTCGACGTCGTTGTTAAGTGGTCTTTCAGGGAGGTGTGGATCACCGTGATTTGATTAGTCGATGAATAAGAGAGTTATTTTTGTGTAAAGTTTTTAACTTGCTGGAATTATTTGAAAAACTATACAAACCTAAAAAGATACGAAATAAACAATTGAAGATCTAAAAATTTCTAAATCAAACGCTTATTATGGCTTTGGGCCTTGATTCAAACCCATTCTCCAATTCTGTTAATCTTTAAGGCTTTTATATGCTTCTTTTCTCTTTTATATGGTTCACTATCAAAGAAGATGCTTTGAAAAAAAGAATTTGGCTAATACTTTTAAAAGTTTCACTTTCCTGCGCAACATTCACGTTTTGGATCGTTAAAATATTCAAAGCAAGAACAAGCATTTTCCTTCACGTTGGATGAGTATTTCTAGACAAGCCTTGTGACTTAAAAACCGAAAAGTAAACGCATTCGTCAATGATTTAAATAGGACAGTCTTTTTTAGACCAAAGAAGCAATGCAATTCCACATATGTATTAAATTCATGACTTATCTTTTTTACTTTATTACCCCTGGACCCTGGTCACGTTTTTCACGATGAACAGAAATTATGGACTAATGAATAAATTATCCGACTATTGTATATAGAACTTGTTTTAAAATGACTTTCATTAATTAACTTACACTATTTTTAGTTGGTCGTTAAAAACTTATGCTTATATTCTTTTATTTAGGGAAATTTCTTGGTTTGCATATTTTGGTTTAATTTGGAAATCTAATTAAAAATTAAAACTAGATATGTTTTTATTCTAAAATCTCCAAAGTTAAAAATGGGAGATATTAAATGGCATTTTAGTCTTTCTCACTAAAAGCAAGCTCCATCACCTAATAATAATAAACATTTCTCCTCGAAACCCTAAAGTACCAAAGAAAAGAAACAAAAGCAAATCTTTCTTCTTCATCCCCATCGTATGGCGATAATGAACCAAGAAGAAGAAAATACAGAGAAGAAGAGGATCAACGAGATCGATGAAGACGAAGAAGAAGAGTTGGAGAATAAGAAGATGGAGATGTTCTTCAATCTCATCAAAAACTATCAGGATGCTAAGAAACGAAGACGACGAGACTTAACTCAAGATTCCGGCGACACTGCTTCCGTTCCAACCAAGAGATCCGACTACGGCATTGTTCCTGTATTCCGTGCTGAAGATTTTTCTCACTGTATGGACTTAAACTTAAAGCCATCGAATTCGGTTATCCCCACCAAGAACCAACAAGAAGAGAAGCAAGAAGAAGAAGAAGAAGAAGATGATGATGATGAAGGGGAAGAAGATGATGATGAAGAAGAAGAAGTAGAGAAGGTCACAATAAAAGATAATGGTTTAGATCTTAATCTTGCATTGTAATAGTACACTCTGTTTCTTTTTTGTTCTGTTTCGTGAATAAGAAGAAAACTTTGATGAGCACATAACCGGAGTAAACCGGTGTCGAGTAGGTTAAAGATAGAAAAGAGATGTGGTCTTGTTATTGCTCCTAAATTAATGGGATTGTATCCCACACTCTCCACGTTCTTAGTAGTAGATTTAGTGGTTAGTTTTCTTTCTTTATTTTTGTGTATTTAAAGACTTCAATGTCAAGTTAAGGAATCAGATTTTATTTGCCAAAAGAAACTTGTGTTTGTATTGTGTGTTTACACATCCTCTTAGCTTTGAGGAGGGACCTCTTAACAAACTTTCTTAATTACATTATTGAAAGAGTGACATTGCAATTACTCAAACCAGTGAATCATCAAGTCAAGAAGCTGCAGGTGAAATTGCCATTGGTGAATGTTAACTTCTCAGCTTTGACGACAGAATCTAGAGGAAGAGGAACAAAGGTTTTTTCTGGACCATAGAAGTGAGGGAAGCTATTCACTTCATCCACAGCTTCATAGATCAATCCATCTCCAAGCTGCAAAAAAAGCACATCAAACAAAAAAACCATGTCAATCTCTTTATGTTTCAGGTGTGCTCGAGTAAAAGGGTATATACATCGTTGAAACATGCGCTTTGCTTCAGGATTCAAATGACCATTTTATAAGAACTTTACATCAATGTCTATAAGATCATGGTTCTGTTACTTCCATTGTGTTATAGTCCATAATGCAGCACCATTTTGTGTATCGTTTTCAAGTCTACAAAATCGCACCGACTCTAGTACATAACCAACTCTAGCATCAATCAACATCACTGAGTACACACTCATACCATGACAAGGTAGGCTTAAGAAGTTTCTTGCTTTTACCCCTTTTGCTAATTGCTAATCTACTTAAACGAAGAGCTAATCACACAATAAACTAACGTTTACTAGATCAACCACTCACCAAACTAGAGGATTACTTATAACAAATTATCATATTTCATCAAATTAAAGGTAAAGCGTCAATATCAATGAACAAACCTTCTTAGGATCGACTTGAAGAAGGTAAAGATCCTCCTTAACATTCAAGAAAAAGTTCTTCAATGTCAATTGTACCTAGAAATCAGAGAATCAATTTCATCACAAAAGCAGCAAGAATCTGCATTAAAGTAATGATCTTTCACAAGCTTAAAGCAAATTAGCTTTAGAAAATGAGCAAAAAAGTCGAGATTCTTCATCACCGAGATGAAAAGTCGAGATCTTTCTGAGAAAAATCTTAAGACAGAGACCTGATCGAGTTTGCTGAGATGATAATAACAAGTTGATTTATCAATCTCTGCACCAAAAGAAGATCCATTCTTCTGAAACTCTTCCCATTCTTGTTCCGTACTGATTCTGTATATGAAATCTTCCTCAGCCATTTTTGTTTCACCTCTTCACCTGTGAGATCGAAAATTCGTAACTTTGAAGCAGACTTGATTCGATACTAAACCGGTACAAACCGGGAATCAATTTCTATACTAAACCGGTACAATTAGCTAAACCGACTCGTCGTCAACTTCGAAGTTTTTTACTTGCAATAATCACCTCCGTCGTCGCTTTCGATGGTCGAAATCAGTTGGTAAAGAGAAAACTCTCAAACAATCATGGCGGCGTCAATGACGAAACCCATCTCAATAAATTCTCTCGGTTTCTGTTCTGATCGAAAGAACATTGCTTTCTCTGATTGCATTTCGATTTGTTCTGGATTCAGACATTCTCGACCATCATGCCTCGATTTGGTCACAAAATCACCGAGTCACAACACTCGTGTTTTACCTGTCGTTAGAGCCCAAAGCTCTTCTGGTAAGCCAACAATGATGACTCTCTGATCCTTTTTCGATCTATTGGGTTTGTTCATAGCATTTTTTTGTTTTGTTAGATTATATTCCAGACTCGAAATTTTACAAGGTGGAAGCAATTGTCAGGTAAGCTTTTAAATTTTGTTTTGGTGTAACAATCATTGGTATAATTGTGACAATGTTGCTTGTTTTTCTAAGTTATAATTGGTTTCTTCATTGTTCATGTATGAATGTTGGGATATAAAAGGCCATGGAGTCTTCAGAAAGTTTCATCGGTAAAAAATCTTCCTTGTTCTCAGTTTGATATGTGAAAAGATTTTAACTTTGCTACTCACTTGAGGTTTTTCATGATTAGTTGTTATCTAAGAAGAGTCTATATAGTGAGTAGAAGTTCTTATCGATGCATGCGAAGATCGAATTTTGTCAGTGAGCTCGATAGGACTGGTCAAATCTTCGTTTCTCTAGTGTTTGAAATGTGAATTTGAATTGAAGGGTGTATGGTTCTCATCGTTATTGTAGATACTTGTTACTTCCAACTAAATCTTGAGTTTCTCTGTTTCATAAATAAATATGCAAACAATCAAGGCGCTATTGAAAATTGGAATACGAGGTGTTACTGTTTCTGATGTTCGAGGGTTTGGTGCACAAGGTGGTTCCACCGAGAGACATGGTGGTAAGACATTGAATTCAAGAATTGGTTTGATGATTCTTCTTACTCTCGAAATGTGTTCATGACTTTTCTATACACATTGTTGAAATTTGCAGGCTCTGAGTTCTCGGAAGACAAGTTTATTGCTAAAGTTAAAATGGAAATCGTTGTTAAGAAAGACCAAGTACGTATATGGTTTAAAAATTGGAACTTTTAAAGCGAACTTCGAGTTTGAACCATTACTTTTTTTTTTCTTATTGCAGGTGGAATCTGTAATCAACACCATAATTGATGGAGCAAGGACAGGAGAGATTGGTGATGGCAAGATTTTCGGTAACCATACTCTTTTCACAATCAGATTTTTATGTTTCATACCTCAAAATGCAAAATGAAATTACTCAGATTGTGAATGTTTCTTGTTTGGTTATATACAGTTATACCTGTGTCAGATGTCATAAGAGTTCGGACAGGTAAATACTTCAAAAGCCATATTCTTTTTAAATCTTGGCTTGCCTTAAAATGTCTGTTAATGTTTGATAAAACATTTCAGGTGAGCGTGGGGAGAAAGCAGAGAAGATGACTGGTGATATGCTTTCACCATCTTAGGAACAAACAGAGCTCAAGAAGGGTGTTTATCATTTCGGTCTCTAGATCTAATTTCTGCGAATAATAATGAATGGAGTCTGTGTTTGGTTTCTCTGTTGAATCGATCAAGATGTGTTTTTAACTGTACATGAATTATGTTATGCAGAAACATCTGTCCTGGTTCTCAGACATCGAAACTCTGTTCCTAATAATAAAAACTGAAGTCTCTGTTTCTTATTTTGGTAATCTGAAACAACAATGCTTTGAAGACACCATTGCCAAGACTTCTTGCAATAAGAATTTACTTTATTACTATCACTAATGATCCTGAAAGACTAGTCTACAACACCTTGAACATGTTCTCATGTAATGCACATTGATATTACTTGTGTGTAAGTATTCTTGATCCAAGTAAACGAAAGTGTTGTTAGTAGTTCTTTGTCTCCTCTTTATTACTCCAGCTGAATTATTTATATTCATCCAAAGTTAGAATTGTCCACTAGCAATATCATTTCTCATTTCTCTTCTCTTTTTTTTACAATTAGGCTATCAATTACACAAGACCAAAGATCTCAACAATCAAGAGCCTCTGGAAACACTTGTAAATTGAAGAAACTTCTCAAAGTCTACAAGAATGCTACTGTAAATGAAAGGCATAACACGTTTGAAACAGTTAGATCATATCAAATTTAAATTCCAAGATTCTTTGATAAATAACTTATTATAATGGAAATGAACTTGTAAAGTAAATGGTACAAGAAATCTAAAAGAACCCCCCCCCCCCCCCCCCCCCACTCGCTAGACATCTTGATTCATATGCCATAAGTAACGTACGCAATTAAGTATTCATCTGAGGTTCCAAGTATCTTCAGGATGATAGGAAAAATGCAATGCATCTTACACCAGCTGCAAAATGGACGAGATATACTTTTATTGAGCACCACCTCATATGAATTGCCCCAAGCCTCTATTGTGCTTCTTGGCATGAACCCTGAAAAGTCTCCTAGCACACACGTTGTATGCAAACTAGCCCGTTGGTCTTTACATGTGTAGAACCATGTCTCTGGATTGGTTTCTTTTTCACAAATGTCACACCAGAATGTACCACTAGCCTTTTCGCCATAGCATAGTGAGAGAGGATGATCGTCAACTCTATGCTTTACCACTTGTGGAAAAGTGGCGCATTTGAAGCATATGGCAAATCTGCAATCATCTTCAATGCATTTTAGCACATAAAGAGTCCTCTGGTTGCAGCCATTGCAACGCTTCATCTCTCTATCTGCACAAATTATGGACTAATGTTTTACTCAAGAACAACAGAAACCTGCACAAGCCACATTTTACTCAAGAACAACAGAAACCTGCACAAGCCACTACTCACAACCTTATGCATGATCATCATTATGGTCATGGAAACATGGCTGAGTACCTTAACCAGTTTTGTAGACAAGAGACGGATTCTTCATTCTCGGCTCAAGCCTGGCCATGGGGAAGCATCAGCGGATTGGAACCTCCGGTCCATATTTGGCTCAACCATATGATCAACGTTGAAAGTTTCGAGGGAAACGAATACGATTACAACTACCTCATAAGTTCAATTGATTTTGAAGGTTTAGCAAAAGTCACAGATCCCTCACAACTTCCGATGGAGCTTCAAGAAACAATACATATTAGGTAATCAACATCAACATTTCTCAATGGAGCAACAACAAAACAAGATTATTATTGGACAAGCCACACATCTCTCTTCACAGCTTCCAACTATGATGAATAAAGCCATAGGGAAGCAGCATTATAGTCAGCCATATCATCAGTCTTTTGAACAGAACAACAGAACGATGTTTAGTTGGTGCCTTTGAATCAAACCACTAAACCATCACAGTTGAATAAAAAACAGCAGCAACCTAGTGAAACAGCAGCAACCTTGCTGGCACTTCTTTGTTCTATGAAGTTAACAAATTAGAACCGAAGTTCAGTCTTCTGTAATATCGGTTTAGTTTTGGTTCTGTTTCGGTTTGAGTAATTTCATTTCGGTTAGAGTCAGTTCAATTCGGTTTGTTTTTTTTAAAACCATTTCTTCAAACAGGTCCTTCAATTTTTTTTGTATGGATGAGATTGGAAGATGTTTGTCTTAACGATATCTTCTCCTTCAACTCCTCTCATCAGACCACTAAAACGAAACGGGCCAAACCGGTCACCGGTGCGAAAAATCCTCTGCCTGAGCCAGAGGAGGCAGAGCAAAACCGGTACCGGAAAATCTTGGATCGTCCCAGTAAGTCTCTCTCTTTTTGGTTCAGGCTTCGTCTTGGGTCCTCTTCTCGATGGTCTCCACTCACGTGTCGATCTCGTGGTTTACCAAAACGGAGCTTTTCAAATCGGTCCCCTTCATACAAACATCTGGGTAAGATCAAAAACCCACAACTTTAAAATCCTTTCACAAATGTAATGTGTTTTTTTCAGGTCCCGTTCTTGCTTGGCTTATTTTACTGTACAGTAGGTTTACTACAACTCCTATTGGATGAGGCAACCTCTATAAAGCCTCCACGTGGCAACTTGGACAAAACCATAATTTCACTCTTGTAAGTATGCAGTACTCTAGTCTTTAGTTGTTGTATACAGTTGTGTATAACAGTTTTGGGACAGTGGAAGTGAAACTCTCTATATGGTTTTGGTAAATGGAACAGAGCACTGGTGGTGTTCTTAGAGTTAAGTGCTGAAATGTACAAAGCTGGAGTTTCAGACAACATAGAAGCTTACATTCTATTTGCCTTAGCAGAATTTATTTGGTTCTCTTTGGATAGAACTTGGCTTGGCTTCACCATTGCCACTCTCCTCGGTGTTGCCTGTCCTTTAGCAGAAATCCCCATCATGCAGTAAGTAAACCGCGCTCTTCGATCCCTCAACAACCAATCTCTTCGGGGTTTTTTTCAGAATTGAGTCTAAAGATTGACATAACCTGATTTAACAGATTCTTCCATCTGTGGTACTATCCAGAAGCAAACATAGAGATCTTTGGCCAGGTAAAAAGTGTTTATATAGATATATATCTTCAAACAAAAACATAACATGACACCCTGTTTTATTTTATATTTTTGTTTTGTTTTCTGGTGAAGGGATTGGTTACTTGGACAACAACTTGCTACTTTGTCTACACACCGTTCTTGATCAACCTGGCAAGATGGCTCAGGACAGTTATGGAGAGGACGACTACTGATGTAGACATTAGCTCAAGCAAAGAGCAATAATGTTTTTACATAATATAGTGAGTTTCTTCATGCTTTCTAGCTTGTAAAGGTTACATTAGATATGTCCTTGAACTTTTCTTTAATAGCTGCTCGTATTCCCATTCCAATCGATTCTGGTCCAACATATTTTACAACGCAGTCCTCGCCTTCAACTGATAAAACTTCCACACTTCCGCCGTAGTTCTTGATCGCTGGCCTCAGTATATCAAGATGAGCATTCACTGCCTGCAACAAAAACCAGTCAAAGGCAAACACACAAGAAGATATCAACGCGAATTTCTTAAAAGGAGCCTCACTCACCTCTACGGTTATCTGCTTTACTTCTTCATCAAAAACTTGTCGAATATCTTTCAAAGCATCTCCAAACTTTTCCTTGAGTACCCTCTCTATTCCCATTGTCATGGTTGTTGAAGAACTTGGACAGCTAGTACATGCTCCTAAACATACAACCCAATCCAACATAAGTTCAATTACATAACATGAGAGCACAATTTCTTTTGCAGATGTTCTCTTTGCACTCTTAAAGGGAAAAAGACTAGAGATTAAAACCAAAACTATAGGATACTACACCAAGAACAGTAATACGCCAAAATGTTACATAAAGTTGTCCTGTCTCAAGCTCGAATCTAGAGTTCTACAGAGAATAGAAAACCTTAAAGGCTGATCAGTGATAGATTACAACAACTCAAACCCCAAATAGTTTCTATCTTGTCGAACTAAATCAGCTAAACCTAACTCCTTTGCTGCCTTTCTCTACAAAAGATTCACTGATCCTACCTAATTTGTAACTCCCCCAGAAGTCGAATGTGAACTTTTTCATTTCAATCATAGAGGAGCAATAAGCCAAAATATTACTTAAAGTTGTCCTATCTCAAGCTACAATCCAAAGTTCTATAGAGAATCTAAAGGCTGATCAGTTATAAATTCCAACAACTCAAACCCCAAAAAGTTTCTACCTTGTTCGAACGAAATGAGTAAGTCTAGCTCCAACACCAGCAACCAAACGAAAAAGAAAAATAACCTTGGAGTTTAAGAGAAACAACTCCATCTTCAACGGAGACAACGTCGACGTTTCCACCATCGGAGATCAAGAACGGCCTAACATCCTCAAGCACCAAATCAACATTTTGAGGCGTCAAATCAAAAGTCTGAGCTGAATATAGACCCGGCGATACACCAGATGCTAAAGGTGATATCTTTTCTCCTTGGCTCGACCCACTTATCGCAAATCGACGCAAAATCGCCGTTCTAGAGATCGGTCTGCTTCTATTCTCAAACAAGACAAATCTCGGGTTTTGATTGGAGATTAAAGGAAACCCATTTCTCGTTGAAAATGATGAAACCAGAATATTGAAGCTTCCGCTTATGGAAGTCGCGAGAGAAGCCATCACCGTTCAGATTTTGATAATTTTGATCTGTAAAAAAAAAAAAAGAATCGGACTAATCTGAAGAAGAATCGATAAATTGCGGAATAGTCCCTGAAATTAAGGAGATTTTTAATTAAAGGATCAGATCAGAAAATGCAAGTAGTGGACCCAACAAATGTGGGCCGATCAACATAAATGGCTTTTACTACAACGAACGACCCAATCCATTTAAAAGAACGAAGACACGTGTCGGTTACGAAATTTTTTTCATTTTCCTTTGAGTGAGTTTGACTTTTCTTTTATGTTGGACCAATTAATCCATATTTGTTTTTATAAGACTTTGCCTCTTCCAACACAGTTGTTATAGACACTTATAAAAATGCGACAGTGATGGCCTCACCAGTCACCACCCACCACAGACATATCTTAATTCTGTCCAATTCCATATGGGGACTAACACAAATTATTTCTGCTGTACAAATTTAATTTTCCTTTTTAAGAGGAATTATAATAACATAGTATCATTCATTATTATAGACATACAAAAAGTGTAATGATTGACTAAAAGTCTATCTCATTTTGTACTTTGTAACCGAATTATAAATTTTATAATTCAAGTGTCGATTGACTAACTTTTTATCGACGGTATATGAAGAATTTATTTTTGTTCACTCACATGCATGCTCACATGGTGGTTTACTAGAGTCCTAGACCCTAGCGAACGTAAACGAATAACTACGTTTTGATATATAGAATATATGTGTAACTAGTTTGACCAACGAATATGCCATAGACCCATAGTTATAAAAAAGTATTTAAGATTAAATAAACTTTTAGTTGACAAAGGAAAAGTAGTATATAACCAACCAGCCATTATATATACAAGGCCAATCATGCTTGTATTCATGATTTACAATAAGTTTGGTTACATTATTTGGGCTAGACCGTTAAAAACATTTATGATGCATGTGCCAACCAAAACAATATATAAATTTAATAACAGCATTCAACTTGTTCAAAATTTATATAGATGATTGGTTACATTATTTGTGGACCATTATATTGTTTATATATGCACTAGAACTGCAAAAGGAAAATTGTCTGACAAAGATTTGGATATGATATAAAACATAAAGATATATGTGTACATTACCAAGAAAAAAAGATTGTAGTTACATTTACGTAAACATTACTCCATCTGTTTCACAAAGAGTGTCATTTTAGAGTTTTGCACACAGATTAAGAAAACATTAAATTTTTTATTTTTTCTAAACAAAAACATCATTAACTATATACCTAAACATAATCTGCCTAATAGTAAAACAATTTGCAGAATACTAATAGTCATAAAATATAAAAAATCATTAAATTTTGCATTGAAAACCTAAAACGACACTCTTTGTGAAACAAAAATAAAACCTTAAAACGACACTCTTTATGAAACGGAGGGAGTATTAATAAACAAATGAAATAATCGATTGGTTACTTACATATATCCAAAGAACTCAACTCACTCACTCAAAACCTAAAAACAAATTTAATTTTTCTTAACTACTCCATTATTACCGGCCAAGATCAAATACTTATCTTTTCTAGTGAGACTTGTGCACTCGAAATCCAAAGCCTTCCCAATCTCACTCTGAACATGATTGGCCACCTCAAACTTCAACTTCCCATCAGGATCTTGGCACGTGGCACCGGAGACAGGGTCGAGAAATTGGATGGTGTAGGTAGGATAAGGATCCATGAGGAAGAAGAGCGGGTCAAAGGCCTTAAGACCACTTGCCGTTGTACCATAGAAGAAGGTCACGGTTGACGTCATAGCCACCGGAACGATGATGTCACTAACCTCGGTGAACAAAGGGCTAAACCTGAGCATGTAAGGCTCTCTACAGGTGGTTCCTTCAGGACAAACCACGAGATCTCCTTCGGTCAACAATTTCTCCATGGCTTGACCGTCACTCACCCGATCACGGGTAAGTCTCACCGTCTTGATCGGAGCCAAAATCTCGGATACCCTACTCAAACTATACGTTACAGTTTTTATGTTTTTCTTTTTCAAGGCGAATGCAACATAGAGAGGGTCCAATAAAGTCCTATGGTTACACACAAAGAGACAACCTTTGCGTTGACTTGATTTTGGTTTTTGAGATGAAACGTAGTCGTTAGTGACGGTTAGTCTGCATCCGGAAAAGGAGAGGATCGGGATTGAGAATGAGTAAGGGATGCAAAGAGAGACGAAGAGTCTGGCTGCTGCGGCTGCTGCTGCGAAAGGACCCCACATGAACAAGACCAAAGTGTTCATTAGGGTTGGTTTGATTGCGAGACGGCCATCGTGGAAAACCAATGGTTTAGGGTATTGGCTTCGTGGTAGGGTTTGCCAGCTTCGCTTGTCTAATTTCTTCACGAAATAAATTTCCTGTTAGAGAGAAAAGGACAAGAAAATCAGTTGAGTACAACATGAAAACAATGAATGAAAGCACCTAACAAAAATCAATTACAGGTATTGAAATTCAAATCCATGAGATATATTCACTGTCATGACTAATAACTATCCACACAGGATATGTCGTCGTTTCTTATTCGTATTTAATGATATAGGCTTGATTTGTTCTTTTTTTTTTGTTTCCTTTTTTATGTTGTTAATATTTTTGACGTTTATGTTGTTAATATTTTTGACGTTTATGTTGTTAATATTTCATATTCGCAATCAGGCAAGTTGTCCGTGTTTCACCGTCACTACTATAAGTCTATAATAACTATTTAATATGCTATGTCGCTTTTTAATACATATAGGTCATGATATATTAACTGTAACAAGTCATATATAGATATCAATATATATTAGTTTTTTCTTGGCAGCTTCAATATTTAGTAGTCAAAACATTCTCGTTTTGATATTTTCAAAAATATAAATTTATCAAAAAAATATTTTAAAAACTGTAAACGTATAACGTATATAAACGCAAAAAAATAAATAATAAAGTGACTGACCTGGCAAAACTGAGAGAAGAGATATCGATGAAGAGATGTATTGAAGGAAGTGATGCCAATAACACGACCGGTGTTTAGTCTCTCTTTACGAACCAACTCATCAAAGACAAGATCATGTTTGGTTTTATCTTCCATGATCCCTAAGTAATAACCTCCAACGACCTTCATTTTTCTTCCGACCACAACGTCAATCTCCAAGTAATCTCTCAAGAACCCTTCGATCATAACTTGAGGAAGATCATCACTCACTCCGATTCTCTTCCCTCCTCTCTTCAAGACTTGGAACATCTCGAGCCCGACATCTTCTAGAAAGTATTTAGGCAAAACCGCTCTTCCCGCTCTAAAACCTTCTTTTTTGACCCCGAAGAAGCTCACCATTACCATCACTTTGACACCCATCTCATGGCTCATCAAGCTTATCAATGGATAGAGAATGAAGAGGATAAATGACCTTATTACCCCACCCGCCTCGAATGCTACTAACATGAAGTAAGGAAAGAGAGAGTCGGATTTGAGAAGAGCTCCTTCTACGTTGAAGATCAATGTGTGGCGTGATAGGTCGGATTGGAGGAGAGAAGAAGGGCCATTTTGGTATTTTGGTTTAGGGTTCCGATATCGCCGGAGGATAAACCGGTAGAATAGAAAGACAAGAGCTTGGAATATTGAAATCTTAGCGGACATTTTTGGTTTTGCAGAAAGCTTTTCTTTTTTAAAAACTTTTCTTTTTCTTTCGTTGTATAAATTTTCTTTGTTTGGTTTCAGACACTGCATGTTGGAGAGCAATTGAGGGGGTATTTATATAACAAAACCATGACGAAAATACCCATAAACGTGTTGCAAATTTACAAGAAACTGCCATTGATCGTTAACGTACAGCTTGCATGATTATACACATTAAATGAGATTACCAAGTGAACATGTGAATAGTATATTTGAAAAGTATACGCGTGTATGACTAGTAGACCAAAAATTTATTCGCAGAGAGTATGAGTCAAAGCTTTTTGTTTGTTTTAAATATATTTTAAGTAGAATTATTTGTGGTGTTAAAATAAAATAACACGAGTCAAAGTTAGCGTATAATCGGAGATTAACACACATAACTAAGTACGTGATTACAAGTCTTGTTCCATTTGCGTGTATTCAAATATCAGCATCATTTTATAACAAAGCGAAACTGAACTGAAACGTCATTACATATTTGTACTTTTACAAGCATAACCAAACAATAAAATATATGTGATGGAGATCCGTTTAATATTGCGTATTATTCTCTTGGAATGGTTATTCCTACTTTTATTTACAATTGATTACTATTATATCTGCAAGTTGGGATGTTTCATTAAATTGTTAGAAAGTCAAGAACTTGTTTTTGTTGTTTGATATGACAAGAACTTAATTTTAGGAAACTAGAACTAATGATAGAGAAATCATACGACTAGTACACATATATTGAATCATTAATTGATGTGTTAGGAAAAGTCGAGTTTTTGTTTCGTATTATCATTTATCGGTTGTCTTCGAGAAGGAAGATTAAAAGGGTCCACGTACCTACAAATTAGATTATCTTGAGTCTTGACACCAAAACAAGAAAGAAAAAAACTGTCCTACAAATATTAAGCATATGGAAAAAATCTATTGTTGGTCCAAAAATAATTATTGTTAAATTAAATGAATGTAGTCTATAAAGGTTAAGATCCAATTAATATTGCACATCTTATAACTAATCTAATAATTAATCTATATATGCACTTCCCAAACTAATTCCAAATTAAACAAAAAACAACATGGCCATATATGTTTCATATCTTGGTAAGGCTGGTCTTTTGAGCAGAATCTCTTTTTCAATAAGGGCACGCACAATACAAAATAAAATGATGAGTGAATGTTGAAAATGTAAAGATAACTAAAAACAGTTAAAACGCATTGAATGCTAATGAGTCGCCGACCACGTTTAGAAACTGCGTGGTCTGTGTGGTGTGCACGTGGGATGGGGGGATCTCTTTCTAGCTTAAGTTTATTTTTATTCATTTTTTAACTTTGGTCAAATGGTAAAATATTCATATCATTCTTTTGTACTTCGAAATAATAAAGTTAACTGTCGGTGTTAATAAATTAAGACACATCTCGACGAATTTACATTGTGTACGTCATTCAGTCATTGTACTTTGTTAAGAAGGAT